GAATCCTTGATAAGTTATAGATTATTATTTCCATATCTTATATTGTCCTCCATTGCCCCTCACCCACTTTTCCATTATTCATCCCCCTGGGAGGGGGTTCTAGATTGAACCTTATGATTGATTTCCCCTTTATCCCCCCACCATTCCCTATTCCTACTGGTATCTCTACTCTCATTGTTGGCTCTGAGAGGTTGATCTATCCTGGATTTCCTGTGTTGTGAACTCTTATCTGTAGCAGCGGAGGCACCTAATTTCACCACAAAAACTGCATTAAAAATGTGCTGAAAAACTTGGCTTTTATTCAAGTATATATGGTACCTGTGCATTCTTTTCAAATTGGTTTTCCCTCTAATCTTTAAGTCATCGTTGGCTTGAGTGTACCTGAAGCTGTCTGACACAGCGCCTTTACAGTCCATATTTCTCTAATTTATCCAGCCTCCTCTAGCCTTCCACCAGTGGGCCACTGGTGTACTGCACCCTACAACTGTGGGCTTTATCTGCGTGTTTGGGCGCATCTTTCTGAATGATCTCAGATTTGGATAAAACACACTTATTTACTTTAGCTTTCCCAGTATTATATGAAGAAAGTCCCTCCTCTTTTATTCCACCCAATAAATGGGATTTCTCTAAAATTTATAAAAGCAAATGCTCACTTTGGACAAAATTCAGATACCGGTTAGCATGGTTACCTTTGAATGAATAGATAAGTATTGCTTTTCTTTTTTTCCTGGTTAAATTCGCAGTGAGTGACAAAAAGGAGCCATTCAACAAACATTGGCTCTGAATTTCTTTTCATTGTTTTGGGAGATGTTGTCTGTTTATGCTCTTTTTGTCTCAATCTCTGGGCACTTGTTCAAGATTAATATCCCTAATGATGGCTCTTTATATTAATGCCAACCTGTTTTTGATTCGCTATTTTATCTGCAGGGAAGTTCGGTTGCTCTGGGAACAGCGGCGGCCCCAGATATTGAAGGTCCCCGTCGGAGAGTTGCAGGGACAGAGTTGGACAAGAAGTCGATTTCAAGCATAATTTCTTCCCCCTCAGGTCACAGGAGGCTTATGCTTGGCTCCACTTTTTCTTGTCCTGGACCCCCGAGGAATGGGGTTACCATTTATTGGACATCTACTGTGGCTTTTGAGGGTGACTGCAGGGAACCCCCTCCTTCACGTTCTCATTTCTCTCAACAGGCTCAGCAGCGAGAAACATCTTTCTTATTTTGTAGAAGTAGAGACTTTGAGAGTCTAGAAGCAGCATGCCCAGTCCCGTGGTCAGGGAGTCCGTGTGTGTGTGTGTGTGTGTGTGTGTGTGTGTGTGTGTGTGTCTGAGATGAGGCCAGGTTTCCTCAACAGGAACACTTGGTCATACGGGTATCCT